TGTTTTTGCGTTGTAATGATGTTTTTAGCTTCGGTACAGGCGGTGGTTTTGGCTCATATATCCTTGCAAGCTCCAGAGCACTTCCATCGGTATGACATGTCCCAGATATTGTGAATGGACCGTAGCGGTTTTGGCCCCGACCTCGGATGTTCAGCTTTCCAGCTGTGTTTGGCGCAAATTCCAGGGTCATGGAATTCTCAACTACCTTAACAGGCGAAGTCTTCCCTGGCACTTGGAGGCAGAAATATCCACCATAACTACCCGATTGTGGTTGTGACGAGCTATCAAGCGTATCAAAGTTGCTCAACTTGAATTTATATTCAAACTTGGATGTTTTTGCCAAGTCACCAGATAGAGCTGCCTCTCGGGTCATACCCCAGATACCGCTTACGACACCCGCGGTGACACGCCCTACAAGCGTCGGCGACGGTAATGATGGCGCTAGAATCGGAGTCTCGGGTTTCATGTCAAGTAATGTGCCTGTCTGAGATGAGGGCGTTGAAGGTTTGGTGCTCAGCGCGGCCAAATCACCTAAAATATTCCTCCTCGCGAATTTCGAAACAATCTGGCTTTACGAAGAAGCTACGCTGCGAAAGGCCCCCCCTGTTGATCTCCATATCTTCTGGTGGCTCGACAATGTTAGAATCTGCTGGCGGTTTGGCTCGATTGCATCTGTCAAGCAGTTCAACCGGCAGTATCACGTCCTGTGCATTTGGGCTGCTCTGTAGATCGCACGTGGTCCCATTTCTCGATTTTTCCGACACAATGAAAGATGTCACAGTGGTCGATTGTAGTGAGCGATGAGTCGGTTCTTCCTGCAGCGATATAGTGACATGCTTGAGTGAAAAAACGCACTCACCGCATGCTCTAGCAGCCTTGTCGTCTGAATGTCAGTCTCTTTCACCTCTTGCAAAGTCCCCGGCTCGTTCGCGCGGCCGTCCTCAGACGGTGAAGCACTTGTATTCACATCATCCACTCGGCGTGAAGCCGGCTTTCTGTTGGCATTCATTGCATCATCGTCTTGGTTAACCACTTCACCATTGTCCATCGCTCTACGGGCACCGGTCGACATTGATGGGTGTTATGGAGTAGATATCAGCGCTTAATCTTCTCAACAACTGTTTTTTGTTTTATAGCTTGAATTGGACAGGCAAAAATTGGGGTAGCGGATAGAATCCGGGGTCGCTAAACACCCATTCGAAGCGACGCAATTACGCCATTGGCGACCTAATACGCGAGGAATTGGTACAGGTAATCCGCCACGCCGCGAATGTCGCCGTTCGACAGCTGGCCGTCGGTGTACAGGTAATCTTCGATTGGCCAGGAATGTAGCGCCCAAAGGAGAGAGAGAATGAGCTGCTATTCGCAAAGAATATAGACTGACCTTGATGTCTGTCTCTCTCTCTCTATCTCTCTATCTCCATGACTATACTGTAGTACAGTACGCTACACTACCACTACCCTACTACCATCATGCTAGTACTGTATCTACCCTAGTTAGGCCTTCCTTCCCGTTCCCCTTCTTTATAATCAGTTACTATCTTATGACTGAGCTACCGTAAGGTAGCACACTGAGCTTCCCCTCTCACCCACTGTACTTATCCTGCTACTACGGACTGTACCTTAACGTCAAGTTGATGTAC